TAAACAGTGATCACAAGCATCAGTTTGTTGGCTGCTGAAAGTCTTCTTTGGTGAAGTGCTTGCTCGTGTCCTAAATCCAAGTTTTAAATTGGATTATTGTCTTTTATTGAAGTTTTCAACAAATCTTAGAGATCAGTCCCTTGTGTGATATGTCATTGCCAAATCCCGCCTTCCCCCCTGGTTCGTGGGTTCTCTTTTGGCTCTTTTCGTGAATTCTCTTGATGTACATCAATGTTGAATTAATTTTAGGTGGTGTCACTTGTCTAGTTTGTCTTCGGCTGTTTGTGTGCCTTCTCTGATGTTTGCTGGTGTATGTGTACCATGTATTGAGGTCTCAAGAAGGATTCCTGATGGCACTGTAGATTAGGTATTGACTGGATTGCTAACTGAAAGGTTGGTGGTTGAAACCCACCAGTTGCTCCATGGGAGAAAAACGAGGTTATCGGCTCCCATAACGATCTACAGTTGCAGAAACCCTATGCAGGGTGGCTATGAATGAGAATCAACTCAGTGGGAGGGGGGTTGGTTTGCTGTTTCGTGGCCCCTAGCCTTGTCCCTGTTTTCTCTTAAATGACCGTCATAGTTCCAGGTTTCACATTTCGGTCTTTGGTCCATCTTGAGTTAGTTTTTGTGTGTGGAGAGACATAGGGGCCTGTTTCATTGTTAAGCAGAGGGCTATCCAATTTTTCCCAACACCATGTGTGCAAGCACCATCCCTTCTACATGTTACATATTTCAGCCCTTTGTCAACAATCAGCTGTCCAAAGGTGGATAGATTGACTTCTGGGTTGTCCTTCTTAGGTTAAAGAGTCAAAATTATTGTCGGGTATGTTTTAAGCTTTGAGACATAAAAGAGCTTCAGTACATAATCCAGAGAAGCAGAGTTGTGGGAAGAGAGATGTCCTTTCCCCAGAGTCCAAAGAGAGAGAAATCTTTCGCCTGAAGCTGACACTCTGAATCCGGACATCTAGCATCCTACACTGTGAGAAAATAAATGTCTGTTCCTCAAAGCTGCCCATGTGATATGTCTGTTATAGCAGCACCTGAAAAATAAGACAGAGTCACACTTCTAATTTCAGCTCTGGCAATTACTGACTGTGTGTTTTCTAAGCCTTAATTTATCTGTCAGCAAATGAGAAAATACAAAACACCTATCTCCAAAGATAAACGAAGTAGTTTGTGTCAAGTGATTAACACATGACAGGCACAAAACAAGCACTTCTTAAATGTTAGTTACCATTAAGGATCCCTGGTGGCATAGTGGCTACAGGTTGGGCTGCGATCTGCAAGGTGGGTAAGTTCAAAACCATGAGCCACTCCACTGAACAAAGATGGGGCTTTCTTTTATAAACAGGCACAGTTACACTAGGGCAGTGCAGTTAGGTTGGTTGGTTGATGGTAAGGCAGTTCAAAACCATGACCTCTCTCCATAGGAGGCAGACAAAGCTTTCTACTTCCAGAAACAATTAGTTTCAGAAATCCACGAGAGCAGTCCTAGCCTGCTGTATATGCTGAGTCAGAATTAAGGAAGTGGAGTGAGGTAGGAATAATTGGGGGGAATGGTAACAATCTTATAAGGTTGTGTTGAATAGTCATTGAGTTAACACTATCAAATGTGGCATGAAGTTGGTATCTAATATTACCTGCAAAACAGGGCTGGGTAGCAGGTTGTTAGGGGGTGTCTGGGGAATGGTCCTAATTTGGGACAAATGCTCAGTAGCTTGAGCTAAAATCCAGTCTCATCTGGTAATACCCTGAATAAGAATGTTGTTATCCCTTAATAGGGGGTGTTCAGTATTTGTGTATGTGTGGGGAGGGGATGGTTAAAGCTAAGCTATTTTTGGAGTTTGGCAGTTTTAACCCCACAAGCCCTGATGGTGCAGTGGTTTTGCCTGGGCCGCCATCTTCATAACCCGCAGTTGGAAACCACCAACAGCTCAGAGGGAGAAAGACTGGGCTTTCTACTCCCGTGAACAGTTACTCACTGCCATAGAGTCACTGTTGACTCCTAGTGACCCCCTATGGGTTTCTGAGACTGCAACTATTTACCAGAGTAGAAAGCCCAGTCTTTCTCCCACAGAGCTGCTGGTGGTTTCGAACTGAAAGCCCTGTGGATCAAAACCCCGCACGGAACCACTACACATGGCCTTAGAACCCCACAGGGAGTAGCTATGAGTCAGCACTGACTCCATGGCAGCCAGTTTTGGTAGGTAGGTAGGTAGGTAGGTAGGTAGTTACCTTGGGAGAAAGGCCTGAAGATTCCAAACCTTGATGGATCCCTGTTTGATTCTGCAACACATGAAGTTGCCATGAGTCAGAATGGATGCGACAGTTAACTGGGTTTTCTTTGGTTTGGTTTGGTGTGGTTGCTGTTTGGGTGTGGGAGGGCGTGGATGATAGTGGCCACTCAGATGTTTCTGGGAGTCCTGGTTAAGCTCTGTGGGCACACTGAGTTGGCAATACTGTGGAGGATGAAGATCTGTTCTGAGCAGGGTTCTGACCACATCGTTGAAGTGTGATTGTTCAGGACAGTAGTGGGAACGGTCACTTGAGTCTGGGCCTGGTCATTGAGAACTGGCCCTTGGACACTGACTTAGGGATCACTCCCGGTGGACTTGCCCCCAAGGGAAGTAAGTCCTCAGCGCCTGGCGCCATGGTTTCGT